TACATATTTTATATACATGTGGGGAGATTTGTTATGAAGATTGGCTTATGTAGTTATGGAGACTGAATGTCAACAACCTGCCATTTGAAAGTTGGAGATGCATGAAATCTCTTAACACAAAAATGATTAAATGAAGAGTTATGGCACCACAGAGGCTATGAAAGCTTGTGACAGAAGCCCCCGACCGCTGTATTCAACCCCAACTGGGGCATACATGTCAGTCCATTCACATTTTTCACCATTCTGGATGTGTTCACAATGGCTGCAAGTGTTAACAAGTAAGTGAATTTATAAACACGGAAACCAGGAATAATGATGGGCTTCATCTTCAGAGCCGATCATGGCAATGCAGAGCAAGTCGGTGAAAACTCAGCCCTTCCCCACCCATCATGAGGAGCTACTAGCATTCTCTTAAATCAACCGGCGGCAGGATGTTCCAGATAAGAGCAATTTCTTTCATTTTCAGGGCAGATGTGAATATTTCCATAAGAGCCAAATTTCATATAACTCAAATATGCTCCATGGGAAAGAGGATGTAAATCTAATGTGCTCAACTATTGGCAGTTAACAATTACAGTCATGTCGCCTGAGTGCTTTGTGCTGGGAATGTTCCCTCTTAGCTGATGTCGTAAAACCTTAGCATAAAAAATACAAACTATAAACCTACACCTTGATGATATCTGTGTATTTTTAAGTTTAGATGGGAATGCATATATCAAAAGTGAAAGATGGCTTGGGGATGCCTCTGTGATCAGCAGCTTTTAGTACAAGCTGGGGTTGAGTTTGGATCTGCATTGCAAAGTCAGGCACAATGGTGTGTATCTGCTACCTTGGTGCTGTGGGGGGGGGAGAAAGTAGGGGAGGGAGGGACAAGACAAGAGGATCTCAGACACTCCCTGGCTGAATAGCCTACAGTCTTGCTTGAACAGTTAGTTCTAGTTCAGTGACAGACTTCGTCTCAAAAAATAAGATAGAAAACAATTAAGAAATCCAGCCAGTGTTAGCTTATGCCTCCACATGCACACGCATATTCAGAGAGAGAGAGAGAGAGAGAGAGAGAGAGAGAGAAGAGGAGAGAAAGAGAGGAGGAGAGGGAGAGAGAGGGAGAAAGAGAGAGAACAGTTTTTTCTTCAAATTTATCTTAACATAACATTAAACAGTATACCATTTCAGAAAGTCAGAGGGCTTAGGGAAAGTAAAGCCTTTCCACTCAGCAATTATGACTTCATTTCAGAACCATAGTCTTCAGATGTCTTATTTTAAGCAAGGATGATAAAGATCTTAGCATACAACATTTTTAAATGAATTTATTTTTATTTTATGTTTTTAAGTGTTTTGCCTTTATGGATTAAAGGGTATCACATGCATGCATATTGGCAAAGGCCAGAAGAGGGCATCAGATCCTCTGAAACTGGAGTTACAGCTGGCATGTGGGTTACTGGGAACTGGACACAGGTTTTCTGTAGGGGAAGCAAGCACTCTCTTAACCGCAGAGCCTACCCTCCAGACCCTCATGTTGTCATTTTTGCTGTGTTACCCACTTCCCACATTAAAAGCATCAAGTAGGGCTGTGGGCAGAGCTCAGTTGCTAGAGTGCCTCCTGGCATGCAGGAAGCCCTGGGTTTGAGCCTCAGCGTGGCACAGAAGTAGTGCAGTGTACGGTGGCGCATGTCTGCAATGCCAGCAGTCGGGAGGTAGAGAGAGGCAGGAGGACCAGAAGTTCACGATCATCCTGGGCTACACAGCAAATCAGTCTGAACTACAAAAGATCCTCTCTTAAAAAAATAATAATAACCCACCACGTTAATTTCAAAACTTGGGACAATTTTTAATGCCACCTGGTGACAAGAATAACACTAAGAGGTGATAACACTGTGTACAGTGTGCTTTCTCTTATAAGCATGGACTCAGTTTCCCCCGGCAGACACTCACATTTCATTTTCTCTCCTAACTCGGGGCTGCTGATCCTATAGAACATTGTCTTTTCTTTCTTTTGAGACAAAGTATCAGCTAACTTTGAACTTGTAGAAATCTGCCTACCTCTGCTTCCTGAGTACCAGGAATAAAGATGTGTGCCCTCACACCCAGTTTCATAGAATTAATAAATAATTCTATGAAAACTCTTAAATTACATCTTTAAACTTCTTTGGGTGGATGTTTATTTCATGTGTAATTTAGTATGAAATGTTACTTCCCTCTCAACACATACACTCCCCCTGCCCTACAAATTCACCACAAGCACATGTTGCTTTGAATGTCTTTTGGAAAAGGCAGTACTTTAATGATTAGGAATAAAGAACCTTTCGAAAGGGCTCTGCTTGCCCTTGCAGGCTAAAGTAAAGCACAGTGTCTTAAGAGCAGTGTGGCCTAAGGGGTGTTATCTTGGTTGTGCCAATTAAAATGGAAGATTCATCCACTGAAGGTGGCACCATTCCCCCGACAGGATACTGCACTATATGAGAGGCAGCAGGAGACAGGGAGCAGGTGCTGAAGCAGCACGGCATTTATTGTCTCTGTCCTTGACTGTAGATACTGTGACCAGCTGTTGGAGCACCTCCACCTTAGTTTTTCTACTGTGATGGGCTGTGACCTTGAACTTTGAGCCAGGATTCTTTTCTCCCTAAGTGGCTTTTGCCAGAGTGTTTTATCAAAGCAGAAGACAAAAACACAGATGTCCTGGAAGAGGAAGGCGACACCCCAAGCAGATCTGTTCCTCGGCCTGGGGTCTCCAACGTGGTCAGCATAACCAGGGTGGATCAGGCAGTAGACTGACTTCTTCTAAACTACCGGTGGTGGTTTGAAATGGTCTGAAAAAATAAAAAGTTGAGTTCCAAACTGGATGTGGTGGCACACATCTTTAATCCTAATGTTTGGAAGGCAGAAGTTGAAGGATCTCTGCAAGTCTGAGGTCAGCCTCGCCTATATAGCAAGTTCTAGGACAAGCAAGACTACACTGAGAAACCCTGTCTCAAAAAAACTAAAAATAACAGACAAATAAATAAGATTGAATCCCTCCCACCAAGAAATAGCATCCAATCCCCCTCTCTGTGTATAGGCCAGTTTTACACGTTTTCTTCAGCGTAGAAAAGTTTCATACCATTCATTACTTTTGAGGCTTGGTTGTAAAAGGTAGCTTCACTCTACCTAGAACTCTAGCAACATGCTCTACTTACATAGGGCATTCTCTGACCCCTACTCTGTTAGGACTGTGGAATCTCAGATGGGTTCAGTCTTGCCTCTGTAAGCTATTTCATATGGATGGTGGGCCTTTAATCTAGTCTATTCACCTCTGTATTGACTCAGCCTAAATATTCATGTATCCTGAATGTCCATCGAATAGGATGTACCCAGGATGACTGAAATGCAGGTGCCACAGCTTGAATCAGTATCCATCAAGGCCAATGTGTGAAATGTCTACTTTTTGAGGTGCTTTGGGAGACTCTCTTCTAAATCCTTTTCAGCTAAAACTGCAGAATTTAGAAAGGTGAGCTCTAGAATAGGGTAGAGTGACCATCAGGACAGCAAAGATTAGTGGCAGAGGAATCAATAGTTCTTGACTACTCTGCAAAGCTGTTCTATTGAGCCAGGTTTGGGAACTGCTCTGATCAACACACTGCTGCTGTGCATAACGCTTGGCTCATTCCACCAAATGCCCAACTGCCTCCTTTTCAAATGCCAGTGTTTTCCACTTTTGTTGTTGTTGTTGTTGCCTTTTTCTCTCTTCTATCCAATATCTACTGCCACCTCCAATTTCCTGCCTCCATCTACCCTCCTGCTCCAAACATACAGATCAGTTTTTCAAAAATGAGAAGAGTGCAGTCAATAAAACTGTGTGCAAAGAGCTGATATTCCCCTCTATCTTGAGAGCGTATTGCTGTGGTTGGAGCCAGTCACACTGTGACATCAGTTTTAGTAACTTGTTTCCAGGAGTTTGAACCCTCTTGCTTTGTTCTCCGAAGGCAGGCTTCATCTTCTTAGATAAGTTCTGCTTGCCAGTTCCCACAGTGTATTCATGAAGAGTTTTAAATCATCAGAAACACTTATTTGGCCGTGATTCTGTTTGCCGCACCACCTCTGAGTTAGTACTGCCAAGCATAAATGGTCTAGACATTGTATTAAAAAACAACTCCCTCTGGAATAGGCCTAGAAGTCATTGGCACAGGATTTCATCTATGGATATTTAGTAGATTAGAAGTCTTCCTGGCAGAGAAGAATTTTGTCAAGATCCACCCACTGTGGCCAGCATTATGTAAAGGATAAGAGTTGGCTGGCTCACAGCCATTTAATAGAATTTGGTCAATAAAAAGAGTAGATTACGCCTATATGAAAGATATGCATTTCATTTTAAGCAAGAGGACCAATAGAAAGTTGCAGTCTGGGGACGCTTAAAAACAACTCTGAATTTATATTGGGGGAGATGATGCATTTTAAATATCTTGCTCTCTGAAGATAAAAATAGCTCTTTCGGCCAGCTGTTGCTCCTTTTCTGGGGGACTTGGGAGGTTGGGCACCACATGGTTGACTAAATTGCGCTGAACTGCTGCATCTCTCCCTTTCTCCCTCCCTCTCTCTCTCTTTTTTTAACATGCACTGGTCAACCATCTATCCATTGCCACTTCTCAGTCATGGTCAATGATTCCTGATGCTGCGTATTTTAGCTCATCTCTCCTAAAAGCCACCTGTCACATTCTAATTCTGTATTCCTTAAAACCTTGAAGTGCACCTCAGGGAAAGACCCCTCCAGAAGGCCACGCCCCTTCTCCCTCCTCCTGAAGTCGGGTTTGGGGAGGATGGAGAAGAAGCGCGGGGCCGGGATTGGGGGGAGTGGGAGGCGGGAGGATCTCCAGGTCGCCGATGCTCTAGCCCGGCCCGGCCCCGCAGCCTTCTGGGAATTGTAGTTGCGGTCTCTGGCACATGAGCCTCTAAGGTGGAGTCTAGGACTACAGATCCCAAGAGGCTACGCGCGCCGCGCCTGCGTGTCGGCACCTGCTGGAGGGAAGGCTAAGTCGTCTCGGGAGGGTAGCAAGTCGGCAGAAGAGGCTTTGGCGGCGGCGGAAGACATGGACAACGCAGGGAAAGAGCGAGAAGCGGTCCAGCTTATGGCGGAGGCTGAGAAGCGAGTGAAGGCCTCCCACTCCTTCCTCCGAGGGTTGTTTGGGTGAGCGCCAAAGGTCTTGCCCTTAGGGTTCTTGGTTCCCGATCCCCTGCCCAGCCGGCTGCTACCGCAGAGTACCCCCGCAACTGATTAGGGTTCTTGGGTTCCCAGCGGCTTTGGAACACATCCAGGTGGCCCACGATCCATCTTGGGTCCCACAGCCCCCAGGGGCTCACAGCATCCCTTGGGCCGTGCGTGGGGCTCTCCAGTCTGCACACACTGCAAGCCCCGGAACCCTTTGGGGATCCTCAGGCCTTGGTACCCCTCACCTACGCCCGGAGAACCCCTGCCTCTCAGTGCTCAGGCACCCTTAAACAACCCAGAACGCCTACACGCTCTAAGAGACCTCTGTGTCCCCCAAGCCCCTCGCGTCGCCGGTGGTCCGGTGCTGGTGTCAGGGTCCGCGCCGAGCTGCCCCTCTGGGAACGCAACCCTTCCTGGCTGACGGGATTCGTTCATTTCCCCTGGTCAGGGTCATAAGTCACACAGGGGAGCTAGGACCTTGAGGTCCTGGAATTCAGCCCATCGCTCAGCATCTGCTAGCGGCTTATGGGGAAGCGCGAGGTCGGCGCCCCTGTATCCCAGGCACTTGCCGCTGGCCGCGACCCAAGGGCTTTGAAATCATTTCCTCAGTGTGTGTTATTCCTTTACCGTAGTGATTTGTACTCGTACCCTGGGCCTCCCGTTTGATGAGCCGTAACATTGCTCCTGTTTAAAGTCAGTATCTTTTGGGAGTCCCATAATTTTGTATAATTCTTATATGCTGTGGTAGGGGAAGATTTTTTTTTTTACATTCTGAGCTTTCAGAAAGCAGAACCTGCATGAGAGCTTGTGGAAGAATTCTGGGCTGTTGATTATGCGAATGATTCAGCTGTTTATGACAGCGGCAGAAATTACGGGTGTGCCTCATTTTTCCCCCCATTTGAAAGTGAAAGTGAAGAATCTGTACCAAGAACAGATTTTAATTTTCGGGAAGGGCTAGTGGTACAAACTTCACGGCGTTATGAGACACAGCTTTATTTTTGTAAAAATTCCATTTGGACATTTAGTTCTGAAAACACACCCAGTCAGCTTTAGCTTTTTTTTTTTTTTTTTTTTTTTTTAACAACTTCATTCATTTGGCTACCAATTATAATAATTATTATGTAATTATAATTACATAATTATTGGAACCCCATTATGTTACTATCTCTAGGAAATGCTCAGGGTCACTTTGAAACAGTGCATGGTAGCATGGTCTGCCAAGATAAAAAGGAGGAGACTATCCTTGGAGACCTCTAAGGGCATTTGTCACTGCTGGGTCCTAAATTTCTCATGTAATATGGCCCTTGAAACCATAGCTGTAAGTAACAGATACTGTCTCTTTTTTAAAAGGGGCAAGTGGCATTGCAGGTCATAAAGACTAATTCTTGTCTGTGAGTCATAAAACACACAAGATTTGTTCAATTCCTGTGGAATTCAATGGCACAGTACCTCACCTTGGGAGATGATGTTAATGCATGGTATATTTCAAATCAGGATGTGCTTCCTAGAGCCAGCTGTGGACATTTCTTTTGGTCAAAAGGCACATTGTTTTGAGGAAACTAGGTCAAATCTTGAGGCAGTCATCTAAAAGGATTTCAGCGACTTTCGCTTCTGAAGAAACATCTATTTGGCTGTTGCTGTGCTGTCAGTGGTAGGCCTTGTAGGAAGACTTTCATCTTCCATCATTCAAACTCAGTTGCATAGAGTCACTGCATCCTATTCACTCAAACTATTACGGCTTTGGAACCTGGAACAGAATAGTTTTGCTTCTTTGGGTCTCACTTTGTTCTGCTATGATCCACAGTGTGTCTCATGATTAGTAATCACCGAGTTTGTACTTACAAAATATTTAGACCTATGGATGTTGGAAGTGGCTGTGGGATGATTATCCACATATTTATCAAAGCTGTCAACTTCTCTATCAAGGAGGCAGAGGGGCAGATGGATTGAGTTTTGCAGGATTTCAAGCCAAAAGTGGTCGCTAGTCTTAAGACTTTTAGCCAGGTCAAGTGTCCTTTGTGCTGTGAGGACCAGTTTCCAGTAGTATTTGGTCCTGGAAAGCTCAGAGGAAGAAGACTATGTAGAGAGCTTCATGAGATTCATTCCAAGTATATCAGTCTGTGAAACTTTAAGCCAGGCCTATTTCTCTCTGACAGTGGGGACACTAAGCCTTGTATCAGTTTTAGATGTTTAAGGTACTATGGGTGTGACACTACCTGCATCTGTCACCACCTTACGTGTTGCCCCGCCCCGCCTCCCTTTGGTGTTTACCCCTCACGATAGTGTCGCCTATCCCCATGGGAGGCTCTCAGGTTAACAAAGAACTGATAATGACAAGCATCATCAGAGTTCCTGTTTAAGAGATGGACAGGTGCTGTTTTGAGGATGTGACAGACATTTAAAAAGCCATTTGGCTTATTGCAGATGTTCCACGTCATTGACTGTTAATCTCCTAACGGCAGATTAAAGCCTGGCTTGACTTCATCTCCTGTATGCTGCACACTGCTTTTGTGGCAATACTGTGTTCTTAGTATTATTCCATAACTCTGTCTTTATGTTGTTGCTTTAGATGGAAATATGCATGGATATTCACAAGCATGGGTCTGTTGGATGTTTCTTCGGCTTGATAGCTGGAGCCTGGGGGAAGGGCCCCCTGCAGGTCCCATAAAGGAAAACGGTTGAGGAAGGATGCAGACATGTCTGTAAACAGTGTTACTTCTGTTTGGTTTTCTCTCTTATTTCCAGTTAAAGAGTGATGCTTCTTTTTCTTTGTAGCCGTGGAGTCAGATTAATTCTCACTCTTTCATAAGAGCGCAGTGTAAAACCACCCTGGAAAAAGTCAAAATTTCACATAGTGAGTTGCTGGAGAGCAACTGTGGAAATTTGTAGTTAATTTCAAAGTTTAATTTAGAATCTCAAGGAACTACTAGAATGATCTTAAGCTGGCCAAATTGACAGTAGGATACTTTCAGATTGCAAAGATCTCCTTGATGTCTTCATTTGTTGCTAGACGAACATGGATTGAGGATGTCTTGCACAGTGCTCATTGAAAGAAGCCATACTTAGGAAATGACAGGAAAATGTTTCGGAGCTTCCTTTCTTCCCTTGTTTGTTTGTTTGCAGTGCTGGGGTGCAGCCTCTGGCCTTGTACATGCTGGGCAAATGTTTATCCTGCCACTGAGCTATGTTCCCAGGCCCCTGATGGTTCCTTTGCAATGTTCCTCAATCTCAGGGCTAATAAAAGAGCTATATATTTGGTGGTCTTGGTCTAAATTTAGTGAAGGATCCTTTTGGGTCACTGCAACTAAGCATAAGTCAACTTAATATCTGTTTGTGAAAATTCAGATATTGTAGGCTAGATCCATTTTGTTCACTTGTTTTTATTTCAGTGAAGATTCTGTTTCCATGTTTATTATGGTTATGTGATAGCCTAGAGAGCATTTATATCATTCTCAGTTGTGATTAATACTTACATGTAGATTCAATTTAAAAAAAGTCATCAATCATCTGGATGTGATGGCACATACTTTTAGTCCTAGCACTAGAGAAGCAGAAGCAAGTGTATCTCTGTGAGTTCGAGGCCAGCCTGGTCTACATAGTAAGTTCAGCCTTATCTATATTGTGAGTCCCAGGACATCCAGGGCTATGTAGAAAGAGAGAGAGAGAGAGAGAGAGAGAGAGAGAGAGAGAGAGAGAGAGGCAAGGAAAGGAAAAGAAAAAGCAACAACAACAAAAATTATTAATGTGGTGACCCATGCCTTTAATGCTAGCAGTCAAGAGGCTGAAGCAGGATGATCTTGAGTTTTATGCCAGCCTGTCTCAAAAACAAAACAGTAAATGTAGACCCAGTTACTTACAAAGACATATGTCACAGTGTAAGAAGCATGGGAATATTTCTGTGTTACTTATAATGCAAGAACTTAGATATGGATAATAGTATATTATATAGAAGAGAAATAATAGTACATGCCATTTAAATCTGTAATTCTGGGATTTTGTACTTCTGATTTTTAGATGCTTCTTATTTCTGAGAATTACTCATTAGTGGTTGTAAATAATATTGCCCTGTCCTGGTTGATTGTTCATGTGAACTCAACACAAGCTACAGTTATCTGGGTAGATAAACTGCAGTTCAGAAAATGTCTCCCTAGATTGCCCTATAGGCAAGTCTGTAGGCATTTTCTTGATTTCATCATTGATGTGGAGTGGGAGGGTCCAGCCCACAGGAGGCAGTCCAAAGTTATATAGGAAAGCAGGCTGAGCAAGCCACAGGGAGCAAGCCAGCAAGCAGCATTCTTCCATGGCTTTTTCTTTAGTTTTTACCTCCAGGTTCCTGCCTTGGCTTCCTTCAGCGGACTGTAAGCCAAACAAACCTTTTCCTTCTAAAGTTGCTTTTGATCATTGTGTTTTATCACAGCAATAGAAATCCTAACTAAAGCATCCCCAAAGTGGCATTTTTTGAAATATCAAGAAAATGGGTGTAAACCAAGAGTGTCCATGTCACCAGATCACAGTATCATCCTAGTTATTACCCTGTTAGACCTTCATAACAGGTCTAACATAGCATAACAGTGTTCATTTGATATGATGATAAAATCAGCACTATGTTAAAAAACCTTTCAGCAACTCACACAATTCACAGGAAGTTGAAACTTGGAATTAGAATTTCAGAATGTTAACTTTTCTGTTTTCAAGTAGAACTTACCAAAACAATTAAAATCTTAGGTATTTTAATCAATACTGTTTGAATTAAGGCGTATGTCTCACAGGGAATTTCAGTTTTACTGGGTATTTTCATCATGGGCCACTGTTTTAGTTGGAAAGCCTAATCAATATCTATAGAAATAAAAATTATTTTTCACCTTCAGATTATTAGTATATTGATTAGTGGGTGGGTTCCTGTTGAACTATTCTTGCATTCTTCGAATAAACCCCTCTGAATTGTTTTCTTTTGAGGTAGGGTCTTACTGTAGCCCAGG